TTGTGTAAGGGAGCAAGTTTGGTATAAATGTGTCAAAAGCTCTTCTTCTTTTGGTAATTCTACCTGAACTAGTACTAGCTGTACTAATAGTACTTTCAGGTTCATTCTCAGAGACATTCTCGTTGATTTCATCATTTTCAGATATTGTCTGATAAATGATACCGACGGTATCATGCAACGTGTCTTTACCGCTGGTGGTATCTACAAAGCGGTCAAAATTATCAAATGCAACTCCAGTAAACAAGTTATTTGATAGGGAAATAGATTCTGGACAGACACCGGTGCGATTTGCTACAGCAAAAGTTGCTTCTGTTTCCAGTTCTTCTACAACACTGTAACTGCAGCAGTGGCCATATTTGTTAATAATATCGACGATCTTGCGGCTACTCGTTAAGCTTTTCAACGTCAGACCCAATGTGATGTGTTTTCCAGTTTTAATATTACCATTTGTGACATTATATATCAGGTCCTCTGCTAGGGAATTACACTTTGTTTGAAAATTATGGCTGTTTCTACGACGGCGTCTAAAACCACCTAATACTGTAGAATAAAAATCTGTAATGCTCTTAGGAAGTATGCACTCTCCTTTTATTAAATCTGTGGCTTTCAAATCTTCCGGTAATGGTATTTTTGGAATGGTTAATACCTTTTCACGTAAAATTAATGCAGCTTTCTGTAATATTTCTTTTTCTTCTAAAAGATCACAAATATTATCATCAATTATAAAACCTTTTGGGACAATATATTTTTTTCTTCCTATTTTCACTATATCTATATCTTCATTAAAACGATCTACCAATTTTTTTTCAAACGTTTGATTGTTAAAAATACTATCATATTTTTCACCGTTATCCTCTGCTATTTTTTGAATAGTTGCTACGTATAATTTACAGATATAGTCAAATGTAAAACATTTCTTTGAAATAATTACGTTTTCTTCAATGAAGTTACCGATTTCAGCAAATGTTTGATTATGATAATTTCTGAATACGTGATATGATGTTATTGGTTTATCAATTTTTTCCTTAAATTCAGCTATAACAGAAAGACGGCAAGCATTGTGATAATATATTTCCTCTGTTGATAAATCTTTCAGTTTTTGTATAATTGTATTGTCCTCAGGAATTGTTACATTCTGAAACACAGTATTTTTGTTTGCACTATGCAAAAGTTGATATCGCCCTTTAATTTTTTTAACTTTTTTGTCGCACACGAAACATACTTTTTCCACACTTCCTAGGTTTTCTTCAGTACTTTGAATCGTATCATCTGGGATATCAGCTTCACTCAGATTAAGTCCTTCCACTAATCTATTATCATCTTGAGAGGACGGCCCTGGTAAATCTTCAGGCATTTGAATCCTTTCTGTTCGTTCTGCAGCGGTCTCTAAAAGTAATATCAATATATGTTTATAAAAAGAATTAAAACTGCAAATTATTAAAACAATAATGTACATAAATAAGCATATAAATTTAAATAATTAGAGTTAAAGTCAGCTTTATAAAAAGTATGATGAGCCTGCCCCAGTTACTAAATTTTTTTAAACAATTCGAAGATCATAAAAAATGAAGGAGGAACACCACTGTAACAGTCAGAACAATTGTCGATGTTTGTAAATTTTTTACTTATATATAATTAATTATTCAAGAATCGGTTAAAAAATAATTGATAGAGTATACATTAAACCATAGATTTACAAATTTTTATTAAAAAATATAGAAAATTTACTAAATTGCATGTATTTTAAAAAATAGTAATTAATAAAATTTGGCAATTTCAATAATAGGCCACGCTTACACTTAGCCATTGCAATTACGAAAATTTGAAAATAAAATTTTATTAGTCTTCGTGTCTTCGTCAGGACAAGGTTGAAAATACTCGTTTCAAGAAATACGCATTTAAAGTTTTTCAATTGTGAATCACAGTTGGGCGCGCTACCTGAGCACAATACCTGACTGCGCTATTCTGCCCTGGTACCTGATCCCACTAAATTAACGGTAACTCAGTCGATTTTCATTATTTTTACTTTTGAATGTACATATTTTTGAATATCTATACTTGAAGAGAATGCAAAAAAAATTAATATTTTTTGACCTATTACAGTGGCGTTCACTCTTACATAAAATTAAGTCAATTACCGAAATAATTGCATAATAATTAATTATTAAATATTTAGTTATTAATGAAAACGATTAGGAATTAGTAATTATTTGCCCTGAGCTCCAAACAGACATTGAACTAAAATTTCAATAGTTGTAAAATTTCAGGAATCAGTACAAAATATTTGTTAAGTTAAATTTCAATGTTATATTGACCCCATAATTTACCATAAAAGAAATAAAATTTTAAAAATATAGTTGTTTAACAAATATCAATATAAGAAAATACTAGCATTTTTTTATTTAATTTATTTAAATCGCATTTTAATACATAGTATTAAGTACATAGTTGTGAAATATATTTACCTTGTAATGGTGTTTCCAAATATTTGCTCATTACCGCCACAAAATTTTTGTAGCATTTAACGTGATATCCGTCTATATTATTTACATCTTCAGGCAGAACAATATTATTATATTTTAGATTATGAAGTTTTCTAATTTTTAAAATTTCATGACACTTTGCCAAAGTCTTGGATGTAAATTTAATTGTTTTTTCGCAGATATCACGTCTGCATATGACACAAATAATGTTCATTGTTTCCATAATTAACACCAGTATTAAAACTTATACTTTACGCTAATAGTTCTATAACTTACACTGATAATAAACACTAGAACTTAATAAAAAATAAAATAATTACACACAAACACGAAATCAGTAAAGAATTTTAAAATGTGTATAGAAAATATTGACTGTAACGATCTGAACTCTGCACTACTCAGCGTTATAACTGACAAATCTCAACAGAATTTCCCTTCAGATCATGCACAAGGCACGTGCACTCTACACACAATAGATGTACTCTCCCTTTCTGACACAGAGACCCGTATAAGCCTATTACGCTCGCACCTTACGACGCGTCGCGACCATTATATATTAACTTAGTAGACACTTGCAACCGCCAGAATATTCTGGCTTTTTAAATATATTTATAAAATTGTTTAAAGAATATTTTCTCAAAATTACAGCCTTGTAAAAGCAAGTTATGAATTGCTATCCCCATAACAACTTTATTATGGGTTGGCACGTACTTGCAACCGACAAAATCGACTGTCAATTTTTTTTTACCTTTAAACATATGTAAATTAAAACATATTAAAATTTTAGCCTTGTAAAAGCAGATTTTTTTTACTATTTTTTTAACATTTTCAAAAATTTAGGGGATGATGACGCAACCGCGAGATGCCTGCCAGAACGGTATTTTCTTAGTTAACCAATACTAAAACATTATTTTACAAATTTCTAGCCTTGTGTCAAACAAGTTACTCGGATTGACCGCTAGCTCTTAGTCTATAAGACACCTATTCATCATTAATAGGTTTGATTGCGCGTTCGCGCGAACTAAGATCGCGCTAATAGATTTTTAAACATTTTAGTCGCGCGAATGCATCGCGCTATCGCCTATTAGGACACCTATTCTAGATCAATATGTTTGATCGTCGCCTCGTACGATGATCGCATCGCTCATTCGCGTTATCGCGTTGTATTAGGACAATGCCTTACTTAGTAGGCACATAAATAAACTTAAAAAAAATATTTTTAAACTTAAAATATTATTGAATCAGTACTTACACCGAAGTGATCTTTGCACAAAGAAATGACTTTCAGTCGATAAAGATTTAGCAAGTTTTAAACTTGTGTTCATGTGTAGATATGTTTATTTCTCTAGGCAATTTAAACCACAACTTTTCTGGAGTCTGTAACGTTGTGATTCTACATTCTTGCATAATACAATCATGATAATTACTACAATACATTTTTTTCAGTCTAATATAACAATTATTAACCATTAAATACATATTTTCAAAAAGTGTCAACTACCCTATTTGATAACAGTGTATTCTTGTCCTTCTTTATACAGAATGAAAAGGAGAGACTGATGTTAAATTTAGTAAGTTTAGAGAATTATGCCAAAATTGACACCTAGCAGCGTCTGTGTCTGATGGTAAATGTCTACCACAGCATGGTATGTAGCGTCTTCTCCAAGAATTCTATGTTCTATCTCCTTTATTTAAATAAATTGTATAACAAAATACTCGTTTTAACGTTTTTCTAAATACGTAGATCTACGAACTTTTCATATGCAAATTTTACTAATTCTACGTAATTTTGTCATAGGGCCTACGCCTTTTTCAAAATCCGAGTTGGTAACACTGCGAAGATTCCCGTATGTTCTTCCTTTGAAGGACACTTATCTACTTAATTTTTAATTTAAAAATATTTTGTAACCCACAATGTATTCGACTGAAGGACTCTGTATCCAGGTCATGAATAAATTAAAAAAAAAACCTGTATGTTCTTTCCACAGAGTACCTTATTTTAACCGGGTTCTTTCGTTTGCCGCACGCAGCACTATAGCATAGCAGTTTTTGCTGTAAAGAAAAACAAAAGAGTTTTTGGCGGGATTTCATCGAGTGTGGTTGGCGTCTTATTTTAATTATTCTTAAATTCGTTCATAGTGGATATTGTGAAATAAAATTGGTGTGATTTTGTGTTACAACTGTCTGCGTAACTGAAGAATTAGTAGAATCGTCAAAATATACGCTATTCCGGTCAAGTGGACGTGAGAATTTTATTGTAGTATTGACTACCTCACACAAGCTTATCGAAAAAGCCAGCTCGATACATTTCGTGCCAAACACTTCAAGAAACATTAGAATGCGTCACACCGACATTCTAATGTAAAAAGAAAAACAGAATTTAACTTAAGACTAGGCTGTATGGGCACTGTTCCCCTTGCCTTCCCTGAAAAGGGAGAACTTAACCAAAAAAAAAAGAAAAATAAAAACAAAAAGGAATGAAAGTATTTATAAATATGGTTTATTACAATAATATTTTATAGAAAAAAATAAATTATATAAAATCACGAAAAGAAATGCTTGTCAATAGTCAAAATCCTATACGGTGCGAATGGTTGAGTGAAGATCCAATCTACATCGAATATCATGATAAAGAATGGGGTAAACCAGAATTTGATAGTATAAAACTGTTTGAAATGTTATGCCTCGAAGGTCAACAAGCTGGATTATCATGGATTACAATATTAAAGAAAAGGGAAAATTATAGAAAATTATTTAAAGGTTTCAACCCCTACATTATATCAAAATTTACAGAAAAAGATGTGAGAAGACTTCTTTCTGATGCTAGCATTGTCAGACACAAAGGAAAAATTGAAGCAATTATTAATAATTCCAGATGTTTTATAAAAATGGAAACACAAAATGAATGCTTCTCGGATTTTATATGGGGTTTTGTAAATCACAAACCTATTGTAAATAATATATATAACAGTAAAGATGTAAAAACAGAAACTACTTCATCAATTGCACTTTCTAAGGCACTGAAAATGAAAGGGTTCAAGTTTGTTGGGTCCACAATTTGTTATGCTTTCATGCAAGCATGTGGATTAATAGATGATCATATCAATAATTGTATTTGTAAGTCTAAACTTACGTAAACTGAAGCTCAATTTGTACTGGAATTAATTTTGTAAGATAAGACGGCCATATGTATAGCATCATAAAACAGTATTAAACTTGGTGTAATATGTACTTGAGTAAATGTGTACAGAGTTGGCTAGAATATGTCTGCAGTGTTATAACTAAAATGCTGGTAACCCACATCTGACCAATTTTTTGTTGATGTTATATGGATAAGAATAAAAACTATTGATGTGGATATTTTGTATTTATCTAAGTTTAATACTTTTCGAAATAAATATGACGGGGATGCTGTTAACATAGGATTTTTTATTTGTTTAGTTAGCTAAAAAGCCTTTAAGTATCATTATGAATCTATTATAGCTGTTAAAGTTCTGTAACTCATGTTTTCAGCCCCCATGTTTTGTCAGATTTTTACTCTTGGTTGCTGTAACTCCTTTTTATATGAAAAACTAAGTTCAAGTTAAATTATAATGCTGTTACAAAAAAAATCAAAAACAATGTGGGTGGTTTACAAACATCACGGCATTATCACATAATAATTCATTTAACTGAATGAGTTGTTATACGCCATTATGTCATTTTTAAAATTAAATGTAACTGATTTGCTATACTAGAATGCTGTTAGTGCATATAATTATGCTGCTTGCGGGGGCACGACTCTACGCAGAGGTCAGAATTCGGGGGTGAAATCGCTGCCGATCGTATGTATTTCTATATAAATATACTGTATCAATAGCTCTATCTAGAGGAGCTCGATGGCGCAGGCGCATTCAACTGCGATCGTTGAAGTTAAACAACTTTCACAGTGGTCGGTCATTGGATGGGTGACCAAAAATCTTCTATCTCGAGTTCCTCCGTGCTTCGGAAGGCACGTTAAGTCGTTGGTCTCTGCTGCATCTGCAATCGTTAGCACCCGCCAATCCTCACTGGGCCCGCGTGGTGGGTCATGGGTCATGGTCCAATGTCATTATTCCATAGGGAAGACCTGTGCCCCAACAGTGGGGACATTAATTGGCTGATGATGATGTATTAGTATATTATGTATTCTATCCGTTACCCTAGTATCCCATAACACAAGCCTACAGTGCTTACTTTGGGGCTAGGTTAATTTTGAGCGAGTGCTGGAAATATACTTCCGGCCACATCTATCGGTCCACTTAGTGTTATTAGTCAATGGATTGGAGCAAAAATATATGTTAATGGTTGAGCAACAACTTTAAAAACACACGAAAAGATGGTTATTAAATCAGCTTCAAAACTGCGTAGGTAATAAGCTTTTGCTCAATGTAACATTTATTTTGAGCTAGGGACCATCAAAACTTAAAATGCTAGGTGGGCCGATAGATGTGTCCGGAAGTGTATTATTATTTATTATTCATATTAGAAATGATACTCACTTACACATTTGGCTCAATAACTACAGCGCACAAAAGAAGAACTGGCTTTTTGACATAGAGTAGAAAAGCCCGTTCATCTGATAAATAGCGAGAGAATATTCACATAAACTATTACCTTGCATTACTTCGAAACGAAGAAAAAAAATGAGTTATGATCTGGTTCATCACCATGTAGAACTATCCATTAAAACAAAGGTAAATGATACTCTAGGTTTCAATAAAAGGTGAGGTAAGTATAATTTAATCATGCAGTCAAGTCTCCGGCACACGCCCAGGGCCGGATTAACCATCTCGGTGGCCCTAGGCACAGCTCGTTTCGGGCCCCCCCTTTTTCATACCACAACAACACAATTTGGAAATCTTTACTGTCTACATTACGAAATAGAATGAAGGTACAATCATCATCAACAACAGACTTCAGTCATCACATTGCAAAGGTATACGCCTTCCTTCAAGTGAAAAGGCTTTCGCCACAATCTACAGGACGAAGTATCGGAGTCATTTAAAAATGAAACAAATAATAGAATATCTTGCATATTTTTATAAAACTAACATAAACATTAAACAATAAAAATGTACGTATTGTACTGATTAAGAAGCATGTTTAAATATTAACCCTTCTAATTTTTTTAGATACAAAATCATTTAAAACTTCTTGAAAATTGACCTTTTCTGATACATCATGTTCAATAGACAATAATGCCAATGAATTTAAACGACTTTGCGACATTGTTGACCGAAGACAATTTTTGATTAATTTTAATTTAGAAAAATTTCGTTCTCCTGTTGCGTTCGTAATCATAAGACTTCTGTAAATTCGCAGTGCCGTCATCACATTTGGGAATGCTGATTGTGCCATGTTACCATCAATCAGCTTGTAAGATTTTTCGGCAGGTATATTTTTTTCTTTATTTCCGGTATCCTCTAATTGTGATACAAAGTATTTGAAGTGGACCATCTCGTCTATGAATTCGGGTTCGATATCATTGCAATAATTTTCCTTAAACTTAGAGCATGCCTTTCTAATATCCTCATCGGGCTTTTTCAAGAAATCCGTTAGGAATCCAAACAGAGAATCAATTTCACTATATGCTTCTAGTCGTCGCGACAATTCTGTACAGAGCATGTCTATAACGGGCAAATAAGTTTCAAATTTTAATTTATCTCTACCTCTATGAACTACTTCTTCTGCTGATCCGTCGTCGTGATGTCTTTTTCTTTTTCGCACACGCTGACTTTCATCACTGTATTGGAAGTCAGCTTTTTCATTTGCTTTCATCTCATAATCGTCAAATAATTCTCGTTGGGCAAGTAAGAAATCTAAAAGAGATTTTAAAAGATCAACTGCTGTCCGAAGTTCAATAGATGACTTTTGAAGCGATAAACTGACGCCATTGATTCGCTCTAGTATGGTAGCCCAAAATACGGCCATAACGACGTTTTCTTTTTTTTCCAAATCCTTTAATAGACATCTGGCCTCGTGAATCACTTGTGACGGCTGAGTTTCATCTCCAACAATAGACTGTAAAGCTTTCTGGAAACTGTTGTAACTCTGAGACAAAGCCTTAGTCGCATCGGTCCTTGCACACCATCTCGTGTCTGATACTCTTTTCAGAACCAATGACGAGAATTGCTTATGTTCATCATCGTTTTCAAGATGCTTGAGCATAATTGCCCAGCGATGAGTTGACGCAGAAAAAAAGTTGTATAGTGCCTGTACTAATCCGAAAAATGAAATTGCTCCAACGCAGCTCTCAGCGGCACGTACTCCAACCAAATTCAAGGAATGCGCTGCACATGGAACGTAGTGTGCGAGAGGATTAATTTTCTTAAGGTGCGCCTGTAGACCATTGTAACAACCGGACATATTCGAAGCGTTGTCGTAAGACTGGCCTCTCAGATTTTTAATATCAACGCCATGTCGATTTAAGAAATTTAAAATTGTGTTGGCCAGGTCTTCCCCTTTGTGACTTTCTATAGGAACAAATCCAAGAAAACGTTCTGATACATCTCCATTTGACGCCACGTATCGCAGTACCACAGTCAATTGATCAGTATGCGATATGTCTGGGGTTGAATCCACGCTGATTGAGTAATATTTGGCTTCAATAATTTCGTTCACAATGAATTGAAGACAAATATGATTCCCTTGCCTACTGAACCATATTTGGCTAAATGAGAACTAAGGAACGGGTCGTACTCTGCAATTAACTCTAAAATTCCCAAATAATTGCCATTATGTTGAGAACCAAGGATTTCGTTATCACCACGAAATGCTAATCCACGGGTTGATAAAAATTTAATCACTGAGACCACTCTTTGTAAAACTTTCACCCAATATTCTCTTTCTTTGTTGACTGTAATTTCTAAAGAGGTATCTATTCGTCCTTGTACACGTCGTCTACTAATCAGTGTTTGCACACATACTCGGTGTGTTGCATTATTCTCATGCGATTGAATTCGGTGCGATACATTTTTCCAATCAGAAAACCCAGTTTGAAATTGTGATTGCTTTTGAGCATCACCAAAAAGTACACATGGAAAACAGTATACTTTCCCAGTAGATGGCGAATACATGAGCCACTCTCGTTTAATTTTACCACCACTTATATGTTTCCGAAAAAACAAAGGTTGAGAAAAAAAACGTTTTTTGCCATCGTCGTATTGTCGGGCTGAAGTAGGTCTTTTCTACACCAAAAATCTTTTACTGCCTCGGAAATATTTTGCCATAAGCCAATGTCATTCTCATATTCTACTCCTAGACCTAGAAGTGTTTCGTTTTGGTGTTGTAATTGGACCTCGGTCTCGGTTTGATCTTCCTCAGCTCCCACTCCCACTCCCGCCAACGTAGCTGTTCCTGGATCTTGCTCTGACTGTTCACAAATATCGGAAGACATCTCTACTGGTTCCACCGCCGTCGTGTGGCTGGCGAAATTACTTGTTGACGCTTGAGGTTTATTTTCCGTTGATGGACGAAAAAACCCAAGTTGGAAGAGGTTTTTTGTCTTCTTTAATTGTTCATTGAGCTTGATTTGTTGCTCTTGCCGCTTTTTACGTTTTTCCGAACCACTTTGATATTTTTTCTTCACGGGTACTTCCGACTCCGACATTTTGGTCCTAAAAGAAAAAAAGGTTAATAACCATGTCATTAGTGCGGAATTTACACATAACTAATAAGTTCACTCATTTCATAGACAAGTTCACAATTAATTTTCTATTTAATAAAATTCATCATCAACAAGTCAGCAACATCCATACAATCACCACACTACAGGAGTATAGGCTCCCCTCATACGAGGGGAGGGACTTGAGCCATAAGCGCGCGGGCCAAGTCCAAATTAATGAATTCATAATTCTTCGAACTTTTTTTATCGCAGATAATATGCAGATTTACTCACGATATCTTCTTTCACCGCCAGATCGGTCGGCAAATGTACTTAGTCTTCCAAAAAACAAAAACTTAATCGTACATGGCTTGTCTGTAACCGAAACCGCCAAAAAACTGAACCTTAATACTGGTAGATACCTATATCACAATATATACCTCTACATCTATTTCTACCATTGCATCTCAGACCAAATAAAAAGTATAGACGGAGTCTGCCGAACCAAAAAGTGAAGCCGATAAAACTACGCCTCGCCGTGTACATACACAGTTACACGCACACACATGTAACGAAACTACGCCTTGGCTTCTCAGTCGAGCTATCCCGACGCGCGGAGTGTGACGTAATAATAAATAACAATATTTATTAGAAAAAATGCCGAATTGTGTAGTGAAAACGTGTAAAAACCAATCTTCCAAGAATAAAAAACAGGATGGAATCACATTTCATACGTAAGTAAAGTTATAAACTGCTATTTTCAATTAATCAAAATCAAATTTGAGGTTGTCGCTTTGTAAACAAAACCTGAACGAAATGTTGCCATGATTATTCGTTACAGTTTTACCCTTTTGTTGGGTAACGTGAAATATAACGTAACGTTATTTTATTATATACATTGTGTGGCATACTTTTATATTATTCGAATATTGTAATGCATGGATAAACAATTACACAAAACATCTTTTTTCGTTATGTATTCGTATAAATTTTTTGGGATGTAATACACATTATTTAATATACGTTCTTTTTAAGATTTCCTAATCGAGATCAAGATCTAAAAGAGAAGTGGATTGCAGTCATTCGTAAGAGTAGAAATGCACCATTGTGGCAACCAGCTTCCCGCAGCGTGGTTTGTTCGACTCATTTTCAGAGCGACGATTTGTAAAATAATAATATATTTGTAATTTTATTTGTATTGTACTTTTTAATGGCCTTTTTGACCCAAAATTCGCGATGTTTGTGGTTTTTTTTTATTATGTTCTTGTATAGGAACTAGTGATTATATTTTGTGTATTCTATAGAAAATTTCATGTGTATTTTAATAAAAGAAACTATTTATCAACGTTTGTATATGCTTTTCGTTTTATCGACATAAAGTTGAGATGACTGATTTGTAAGCGATTTCAAGTGCCTTGTTGCGAGTGCTTGAAACTATAAAATGAACAAACCTATTCCATCCGAGACTTGTAACTAAAATAAAATAATCAATCCAACATAATTAAACGTCAACACATAAATCAAGGCACTTGGATCTCGCATTTGTTTTTATCAACACTTGCAACACGACCCTTTTTTTCTGTTGCGTGTTATATTTTATAATTGTATTTGGTAAGTTATTATATACATTCATTCATATATAGTACATTCTATATGTACAAAAACCTGGATTTATAATTTACAAATTTTGAAAATACACCTCATTTTACCTATTTAAACGACTTTTTTTATCTTTCCTGAGTTTACCATAATGTAATTAAAATAAATTATAGACATGACGCATTGTGTACACACTGTTTTATTGAAAATTTTATGAAGAATCCAAATATACGTTTGTGAAGGGTATTTTTACAAAATAACAGAGAAATCGGCAGAACAATGCAATCGTTCCCACCCAGCGGGCGGGCGGTCCATAAAGAAGTCCGGCACTTGTAGGTGAGAACGGCGCATGACCTTTGGCTCACGAGAGGTTTAGAGAATAAGCTTACGATATTTTTTTCTAATATTTTATAACGTTATTAAAAATGTAATATTATGAAATAACGTTATTACATTTTTCTAATATTGGGGTGTTTTATATGACTATGGTAACACTGGCTAATGCACTACATACATAAAAAACCGGCTTCACTTTTTGGTTCGGCAGACTCCGTCTTTACTTTTTATTTGGTCTGAGCATTGCATAATATAATGGTGCCAATTCTGGCGTGATTCTCTAAACTTAAAACTAAATTTAACAGCAGTCTCTCCTTTTCATTCTGTATAGCGAATGAGAAGGATATACTGCTGTCAAATTTAAGTTTAGGTTTAGAGAATCATGCTAGAATCGACATCAATATCTACTTATATTTATCTGAACATCTGAAGCAAAAAAGTTTGCCGACACTTCACACTCTTCAAATTCTACTTTAGCTTGAATAAGTATTTAAAATAAAATCTCGTAAACAAACTTACCTGGTAAATGGAACTTTAGTTTGTAATAGTCCTCCTCTCGCCGATTTTCTCGAAGAACTTGAAGTCTGTACAAACTGATCTAGCACCCTTACTTAACAGTGATTTTTAAAACAGCAATAAAACTCTTCTAATTGTATTCACGGACCCGAATCGCAAAACTCGCATATCGCAATAGCGGCACCGTTGAACATAGACGTACCTACGGTAAGTTTCCAACAAAACGGGGATTCCTGTCATGTAAAGTAAACCAAAGCAGTAATGCCAACGTTACGAAAATGAATTAAATTCTACAATGGTATCGATTCTGGCGTGATTCTCTAAACTTAAAACTAAATTTAACATCAGTTTCTCCTTTTCATTCTGTATAGAGAATGACAAGGATACACTGTTGTCAAATTTAAGTTTAGATTTAGAGAATCGTGCCAGAATCGACACCATTATCGAAATATGACGATTGAATGTGTATACAAATTAAAGCGAAGTTTTGAGGTGGTTTGAGTTTTATTGCATAAAAATAATCTTTAACCTTTTTCTTATAATAGAGAAGAGATTCGTCCTTGCTCGGTATCCAAAAGTCAAACCATGACTTTATATATAGAAAGATTTCAAAGAGAAGAAGAAAACACCTGGTCCGGACATGTTCGGACTAATCCAGACGGATGGGTTGTTTTTTTTTTCATTTTTAATCGGGAGTGCTGGGCCCCTGGTCATAGTGGGCCCCTAGGCACTGGCCTAAAGTGCCTTATGGATAATACGGCACTGCGTGACACGCCCCAAAGAATACGAGCTTTAGTACAAGCGTCCGAGCACGGGATACAACTCCGCTGCACATTTTTTGAGTACAACTGCTGGGATGCCACCATGTCCCCTAGCTTTCCGGACGTCGACGTGATTGCGATTCGGGGCGAAACTTCACGCTGCCTGATTTTAATATCAGGCATCGTTAAGCCACAATGAGGTAATGATCGTGGCAGTGCATTGCAATCACCGATTCGGGAGTTAACCCGCAAAAAGTTTTAACAGTAAATAAGCATTCTTCTGTGACTTATGAGCTAGTGTTAGGGTGCGGCCAGAGTGCACTCAGAGTCAGATTCAGATTCAGATTTCGAAAACAAGCGCGAGAAATAAACAGTGTAGTCGAAGGGTACGGCCAGAGTGCACTCCTGATTCAGATTCAGATTCAGACTCAGAAAACAAAGCGCGAGAAAAAGCCGGCAACTTGCTTAGGGTGCGGCCAGAGTGCACTCAGATTCAGATTCTGAAAACAAGCGCGAGAAATAAACAGTGTAGTCTAAGCAGGTTGCCTGCTTTTTCTCGCGCTTTGTTTTCTGAGTCTAAATCTGAATCTGAATCAGGAGTGCAATCTGGCCGTACCCTTCGACTACACTGTTTATTTCTCGCGCTTGTTTTCGAAATCTGAATCTGAGTGCACTCTGGCCGCACCCTTAGACTACACTGTTTATTTCTCGCGCTTGTTTTCGAAATCTGAATCTGAGTCTGAATCTGAGTGCACTCTGGCCGTACCCTTAGGGTGCGGCCAGAGTGCACTCAGATTCAGATTCTGAAAACAAGCGCTAGAAAGAAACAGTGTAGTCTAAGCAGATTGCCTGCTTTCTCTCGCTTTTTTTTTGTTTTCTGAGTCTGAATCTGAATCAGGAGTGCACTCTGGCCGTACCCTTCGACTACACTGTTTATTTCTCGCGCTTGTTTTCAGAATCTGAATCTGAGTGCACTCTGGCCGCACCCTTACGTCTGGGCATCTAAGAGGTGGCGACTTATAGGTAGTTCAATGAATAACTAAGTTATTAAGAAAAAGAAAAAGTAGATACAAAAAAAATATTTACAAAGATACTTTTAGTATTTTATTATAGTAACATATACATTGACCCACAAATGAATGAAGAACCTTTTGGAGTCTAGTAACGTTCGAAATTATTTTGAACCATGACTTTTTTATTCAAACAGAAAGGGTGGAGGCGGTGGCGCGGGCGGTTGAGATAGAAGCGCATAAGCAATATCTCTCAATGCTAAGAGCACGTCCCTCCGCCATTCCCCGCATTGTCTAGTCTCCGCTTCTCGAACTCCTGGCGCAGTTGTTCGTCGCAGAGTCTTGCGGAGATTGTTTATATTTTCCGTTTTTCTAAACTTACGATGTGGTATGATATTATTCTTTACAAATGAGTCTGTGGCACCTACCATGTCACATGAAATCATGTGGTGGGAAAGATCCTCCAGGTAGGTTTTTTTTAGGTTACACTTTACTCTTACTGGTACTTTGCGTAGGATGCAACTCAACTGGGGGTGAGGAGCGGCTGATGTGTGCCCAAGTGTACGTTGTTGGGTAATTCACGTCTACCGTCAAATGTCACACTTACGTCCACACTGTTCACCCTTTTTTTTTTTTTTAACGCACGTAAAAAATCTTTTTACAGACGACGGCGCCTTTCAGAGGCACACCGCCGAACGGACCTCACACCTGGCTCCCGCAAGTCTTACGGACCCCCCAGTGGCTACCCACCGAGGACCCCGCAACTCTTACGGGCGCTTTACAGCATAATATCCGCTAAAAAAGTCCTGCGAATTCCTCTACACTGCTTAGTGCCGAGCCGCAGGGTCCCCGTTAGGGATTCTACCATGACTCCGCCCCCAGCAGCTTCGCCGGGGCTCTACGGCAGGGGTCTCCCGCGGTATTACGGGGACCCCGCAGACGTGCGCAGGTAGGCCCGCGCGTGGGGGCTGGGTATGCGGCATAGTGCCCACCGTGCCGCCCCCCATCCGCTGCGGAGGGGACTCTTGGGCGTCTCCGTCCAAGAAACCTCCGCCGCCCCCCCTTTGTAGGACAGAACTACGTGTGTGAAGTGGGGGGGCCGCCGTTCCTGGGAGGGGGGAACGGGAGGGGAAGCGTAATTCTTCCCGTCCCTTTCCCCCCTCCCGGTCGCCCACGTCTCCTCGCGTCCTCTCCTAGGAGAAGAGGGGGGGAAAGGCGGGCGACAGCATTCGTGGGGGGGGGGGATCCGAGCGGTCGAGGCTACTCGGACATCCCCCCCTCTGAGGGCGCCCGTGCAGGCGCCAACTCAGAGGCCACTCTCTCGGGGGGTTTGCCCTTGGTGACCGGCGGGTCACACCTCCCCTTCCCCATCACGTGGTCGGCCGGTAAACCACTCTCCTTGCATATGGCGCAGCAGGGCTCGGCAGCGCATTCCGCCGCCTTGTGTCTCTGCTGCCCACATCGGAAGCACGCCTGACTTCTGTCGTGCTCAGATGGGCACTATCGGCAGGTGTGCCCCCTGCCCATGCACCTGAAGCAGCGCATAGGAAGGGGGCCCAGCAGTCGCACCTGTGCGGCGCACCAGCCTACTTTGAGCACGCCGCCAGACATCACCTTCTTTGCAATGCCGATTGGGCACCGCACCACCGTGAGTCCCATTCCCCCTGGGCCGGGACGCAGCTCCGAGGCTGTTACCATATTGGTGGGACAGCCTCCCTTATCAGCCACTGCCTTGATGACATCCGCCATCGTTGCGGTGTCTTCTTCGAACCTGATTTATAAATAAAATAAAAATTCGCGTCAGTATACCACAACGCATCGTGTTGTCAATACGTCCTGTGCAAGGACGGATCCAGAGGGGGGGTCATAGCTAAGCCGCGGGATCCCCATTTAGGGATTCTTCCACGACTCCGCATCCAGCAGCTTCCCGGGGCTCCAAGGGTCTCCCGAGGTATTGCGGGGACCCCGCAGACGCACGCAGGATGGCCCGCGCGTGGGGGCCGAGTACGCGGCCTAGTGCCCACCGTACCGCCCCCCGTCCGCTGCGGAAGGGGCCGTTGTTCCCGACGACGGCGCCAATCTGTAGTAGTTGAGTTGCGAGCTGAAATTTTTGTCACGTAAAGTATTAATTATTAGAAACACGTACACGAAATCTTTTTACGCGGAAACGAATAGAATTCGAGAAAAAATGATTGAAAATTAATATTTTTGTGGCATTATTTAAGATTAAAAACTCCAATATTTCACATAAATTCCGGCTAAACGTCACGGAAAAAAGATGACAGTTTAATATTTTGACGTGACAACGTCTTAAATTAGGTTGCGGCTGGGAGTCACTTATGAAAAAGTGTAACGCTCGGTAACGTTACGATGAGTCTCTCGTGTTAAGTTTAAGTTTACATGTACAATGTTTTAGTAAACAAAATATATTTCTATAGTTAAAATTTGTGCAATTCTTATTTTCATTCAATTCCTTGTTCCTATTGTGCAATTTAATTATATTCATATCAATAAATATTCTACCGAGAAAAAGACGTTGTCACGTAAAATCTTCGCCCGTAAAACCGACTTTACAGGCAACCATTCCAAATCAGATTAAGCGGGTCTCTCACTACTAAGAGGTCACAGATTAAATAATCTGTCCAAATAAAGCATCCATGAGCAAGGCACAGGTCTTTTTAGGCGTAAATTAAAAACAAAACAGCGAGCGGCGCGGGAAATTGATATTGGCTACTAGAGCTGCCACGGACTGTTGAGGTCTTTCTGCGACCGGGAGCTCTAGTAGCCATGGACTGTTGAGAGGGTAGGTTAAAGTCAATTTTGACAGCTATTTTGATCAGTGCTGCCATTTTTTCATGCAAAAATGACATGTTTCTCGTTGTCGATGGTAAAAATATGTTTATTATGTTGGTACTATTGTCAAAATGACAGATATACCGCAATTTTGTGTTTGTTTTGAGGTCCGTCAGGGAGGTCTGTGTTCGTTGGTAAAAATTATATTTGCTATTATTTACTTGGTAAATAAAACATGGTATGGGCTCAACACTTAGAAAAAAAGGTAAATGTAGCTTTACAACAATCTTTAATCCAGAACCGACTTGGTCAACCCCGACACGCCGTGGTCTTGGTCTGCTCTACCCCTAGAGTGTTTTTTAGAGCCCGGAGGCGCGGAGGGAGAGCAGCCCCCGCCTGCTGTGACAAAGCCGCAAGCATCGTGCGAACCGTAGCGCTGAAGGCTGGTCGCCGCCGGAGGTGGCTTGTGATTTTTTCACGCAAAGGCGGAGGGGCTGCTATTCCCGCAGCGCCGGAGATAAGGCAGAAGTACTGGTTCTTACTTCCCTAGTCCATGTATCCTAAAAAAAATATGAATTTTTAGGTTAGGTTAATTTAAAAAAATAACATGCATTGGCTTTCCTATTCTTATTTGAATCGCATAGTATGTCATATGGTAATTAAAAAAATTATTGGTATTATTCAAAATGTGTTTTTTGAATACAGCTTCGAAATACCTGCGTAACTGCGCGGTGTTCCAACGTTGACATTTTCAACGCGGAACCGTAACCGTATCGGCATATTGCTTATGGACAGCGAAACCTAAGGGGCCAAATGTTGGTTGACTTCTTGGAGGGAGGACTGTTTATGATGACCTCCTTCTTCCCCAAGCTGCCAAATAGGAAGTGGACGTATCTGAGTCCCGATGGTTTTGGATGGTTCACCGAGGCACATTGAATATCAATGTTAAGCTTGAAAGGTCTCGATTGGTGAACCAACTCGAACTACGAAATCGCTTATCTTGTCTGGAAGATTGCGTTATTAACAACAGGTCAAGGACGGATTCAGCTTAGGCGCCGGGGTTCGTCGGGAACAGCGGCCCCTTCCGCAGCGGACGGGGGGCGGTACGGTGGGCACTAGGCCGCGTACTCGGCCCCCACGCGCGGGCCATCCTGCGGGGTCCCCGCAATACCTCGGGAGACCCTTGGAGCCCCGGGAAGCTGCTGGATGCGGAGTCGTGGAAGAATCCCTAAATGGGGATCCCGCGGCTTAGCCATGACCCCCCCTCTGGATCCGCCCTTGCACAGGACGTATTCACAACACGATGCGTTGTGGTATACTGACGCGAATTTTTATTTTATTTATAAATCAGGTTACGTAGTCTCAGATATAAAACATTATTGTAAATAAATAAAATGACCACGGCCACGTGTTCGTAACCACCTAATTAATTATAGGGTCGGCCTTAAGGAGTAACAGGATGAAGGGGTACGCGCGTGAGAAGTTATACTTCTTTAGCATCATTAAAAATATTTTTTAATTGCATGCAAATAATTAATAATTACAATAAAATAATAAAAGAACTGGAAAAGGATAGTTAACACAGTCAATTAAGTTCAGTTTTAATTTGAAAAATTAAATAAATATTCAAAATATTCAATTAAAATCACTACTGAATTTAAGTTATTAGTCCATATGTAATTAGCACTTGTAAGTAACTAAAACACGTTGTGTCTATATAGAAACTAGAAACATGTGGATAAATATTATAAATATGAAAACAGTGATCAGAGGCGACGAGCGTGCCAACATTGTTTTTGACAACGCGATCATCTTATGGAGCTCCGTGGATCGTTCAAAGTACCTTTCGAACAGATGTCTAATAATGGTGGATTATTAACCACTAAGTGGTTAATAATCCAAATCTGGTGGATCCAATAATGGTGGATTATTAACCACTAAGTGGTTAATAATCCACCATTATTAGACACTAACATTCATAACGCGCCCGCGGCCAACTTCATGGTGTTACTATTGTGTTACAGTGATGCGCGCGCATCTTAAAATTTCACTCTCATCATTTTTTCATAACGCGCCCGCGGCTAACTTCATTATGTTACTTTTGTGTTACAGTGATGCGCGCGCATCTTAAAATTTCACTCTCATAATTTTTTCATACCGCGGCTAAAGAAGTATAACTTCAACAAAGGAACAAATAATAAATTAAAGTCCTACATTTTAGTCAAAATAACATTTGGATTAGAATTGGTGATTGAAATGCATATCACTGACACCATACCTATTATTTGTTAATTATTTGACTATGTATTTTAGATATAAGTAGGTACTGTAGGTATTACTTAAGGAATTAGCACATAGATATCTTACCTCTTTAGCTTGTTTTTATATGAGGTGGTTTTTATTTACGTTAAAAAAGATTTGACCTTCAATTATTTAGTATTTTATACAAGATATACGTATACATTACCTACGAAGGACCACAATAACGCAAGTGTAACGCGTTCGTTCTGCGATCGTGAAGTTAAGCAACTTTCACAATGGCCGATCTTATAATGGGTGACCAACCAAAAATGTATTAATTCGAGTTTCTATGTTGCTGCTCGCTGCATCTGCAGTCATTAGCCTAAGCTGCATTAGGCCTGCGTAGTGACTCATGACACATTAATAGGCTCATAATAAATCCGCATCGTAACATAGACTTACCTACCTTTTAAAAAAAATAAAAGAGATAGCTAATATATTATTATCACCGCCGTCGTTCATTATTGTATAAAATTTATGGCTTTCTTTAACGAAATAAACCCATATCCAACCTTAACAACAATACCTACTATTTGGCCCGATTATTCACATTTAAATTAAATTTAGTGTGACATTTCTAATTTTAGAGAAAATATGACGTTTAGAACGCGTTTCAGAATACCATTTAATTATCTAAATCTAAGTTGAATAACTTAGCGGCGTCAATTTTAAATTTAGAGATCGGGTGTCATTACAGAATACCAAATTGAATTTGACAACTCTTTAACTAATTTTAGTTAGTTTTAGTTAAAAGTTGGCACGCCAGAATTGGGCCCACAGACTACTTATTTTTTTTTAGTTCAATTCTTCTCTATTGAGGAAGGCAAAGGCAAAGCCATGCACCCATTATGCTGCGCGACCGAACTGAAAAAAATGTGATAGTAAAGCTGTAAGAAAAAATCCGTGGAAAAAAGTGCGTGGAATAAAACCGTTAAATGAGACGTGCGCAGGCGCGACAGTCGCATACACAAGCGAGTTTGCAATTTGTGTCGATTCTACATTAGCCGAAGGAACTTCGTTCCTACCTGGTGTCCCACGACACCACATCATTTTTTTATTTAACATTAGAATGTGGGTGTGACGCATTCTAATGCTTCTTGGAGTGTTTGGCACGAAATATATCGAGTTGGCTTTTTCGATAAGCTTCTGTGAGGTAGTCAACGGTTGTAACACAAAATCACACCAATTTTATTTCACAATATCCACTATGCACAAATTTATGAATAATTAAAATATGACGCCAACCGGACTCGATGAAATCCCGCCAAAAAAACTTATTTTTTTTTATTTAAGATTCTCCCGTTTCCGGGAACGCAAAGAGAACAATGCCCATACAGCCAAGTCTTTAGTTATTTAAATCTTTTTTTTTACATTAGAATGTTGGTGTGACTCATTTTAATGTTACTTGGAGTATTTGTCACGAAATGTATCGAGTTGGCTGTTCCGATAAGCTTCTGTGAGGTAGTCAACACTACAAAAAAAATCTGACGTCCACTTCACCGGAATAGCGTATATTTTAAAGATTCCACTTATTCTTTAGTTGCGCAGACGGTTGTAACACAAACGCACACCAAAATTATTTCACAATATCCACTATGAACGAATTTAAGAATAATTAAAATAAGACGCCAACCGCACTCGATGAAATCCCGCCAAAAACTCAGACTACTTAAACAGTTGGAACATATTAATATGAAATTTCAAAAGTTCAACGTACAACGTTTAATTTTAATATCGAAACTACAAGATATCAGTGAAACTAATGATTGTGAAATACCAAAGGAATAGGCTAGTTGTCTCATGTCGAATTGTATTAAATCAATGTTTATTTCTTAAAGTATTTGGTCTAAGGAACCTGAATATATCGATTTCACTTCATAAAAGCAGAATACAATATTCATAATTACTTTATTTCTCGTGGTATTTATTAGAAACCATCTTTCTTTTTATTATAAACTCAGATAGGTTATTTTCTATGTGCTTGAGTTTTTGTTTACTACCGGTTGACGTCATAGCATAGATAATTTATAGACTAAAATGGCCGACAGCGTTTTTGTATGTCCATGAAGTCTATTTTAAAATTAAGGATTTGTAGCTTTCTAGGTCTCAAAAAAATACAAAACATTGTTTTTAGATCTAATAAAACATTTATTAACCATTTAAAACCCCTTTTACAAAAAGGGTCAACTAGCCTATTGCATTAACTTTTGGGGAACTGAGGAACCATTTATTTTATAAGTCTTTTAATTTTATAACTAACACAGTAGAAAAATTGTAAAATGTAATTAAAATATTATTAAGTGCACGTTCCTTAAAAAAATGCCCGCTTACCACGCATCCAAGGCCAGAATAAATAAAAAAAAACCCTTACCACGCTAGCTAGCTACTCTACTGTTCACGATCTGCCACTTTGATTTAATTTCTAACCTCTGCAACACGTATCATTCAGTCTATAAGCGTAATTCGTCATGGCGGAACAACGTGAAAGGACATTCATCATGGTAAAACCCGATGGAGTACAAAGAGGACTCGTCGGCACCATAATCGAGCGTTTTGAGAAGAAAGGCTTCAAGTTAGTAGCACTCAAATTCGTTTGGCCATCAGAGGAATTACTGCAAAAGCACTACAGCGATTTAGCTTCTCGGCCCTTCTTCCCTGGTCTAGTTAAATATATGAGTTCTGGACCAGTGGTCCCCATGGTATGGGAGGGCCTCAACGTCGTGAAGACTGGACGTCAAATGCTCGGAGCCACAAATCCTGCCGACTCTTTACCAGGAACCATTCGTGGTGACCTCTGCATCCAGGTTGGCCGCAACATCATTCATGGTTCCGACAGTGTTGAATCTGCTAAAAAGGAAATTGGTCTTTGGTTCACCGACAAGGAAGTCGTTGGCTGGACACCAGCAAATGAGAATTGGGTGTATGAATAAATAATGTTATTTTTTTTTCTTGGATATACCTAAGTTTTAATTCCATTTTAACCACTACACTGCTGTGAATTTGGTTAAGACTTAATTTATGATAAATAAAAATAAATCATTTAAATCATGTTGTTACTTTTATTAATCCTTCTCCTAAGATAGTTTTTTTAACTTTCATTCAGAAGTTTTAGAAGATCTCCATGGTACCAGTGGTTTGTATAAAGGTGCACCTTTTTAGAGTTCCTCAGGTTCCAATTATTATTCCATAAGGCAAATGATGAGTACCAACATTTGTACATAAGTCTATAGTAGGTGTTTATTTAAATTTATAGATAAATCAACTTCGTGAATGTTAGGAATTTTTTTTTTGTTTTATCAGGTGAGCTGTTGTGAAATCCTCATGGATACCTTACAGCTGGCTGTAGGGTAACATCAGATTACTGACTAATACACACCCTTGGGGATGCCTAAGGCCGTAAGGGCTTTACAGGCTTCGTCTAATGCTATCAACCACTGAAAAGGGGATGATGCAGTTAGGAATAATTTATTACCCACTTTTTATAAAAGTTGTTTGAGCAGAAAATAGTAGGGCATGATGGATTTTTTTTCTTTCCATATAGAAGTTCTTAATTTCAACAAATTCACTTACTTGCCAAATCCAAAACTTGCCTTGTATTGATAATGCTTTATCATTTATGACATAATGTGACAACATGGGTCAGGAAGGAATGATAATATATATATAGGTTTGCAACCTTCAATTAGATTAAAGTGATATTTTCAAATTGCCTGATATTGACATCATTCCATATAGAAAACAAAAGCATGAATTTATAACTATTATAACATGAAAATATAAAGACTGACAAATAAATTTTGAATGAAACAAAGTGAACAGTCTGTACAAGTTTATACTATACTTTTATTTTATTTGTAACTATAAATTGAAGTCTAACTTACAAAAATCTGCATTCAAATATATGCAAAGACAATGTAAAAGAGATGCACTTACCAAAATACCAACATTTACATACTTCAAAATTAAAAAAGTAAACATTACAAGTCTGTTTTTCTATACTATCTATGTATGTTGATTAGCACATCTCATTTGTATTATAACAAACTTAAATTCGAAGAGTCATTGGATATGCTAAAATACTAGATCACATAGGTTTTCTAGTTTAACATAATAAACTAATGAATATTTACATGAGTAGAGAAGCAGTCAAAAGATATTATATAAACAATATGATCCGTAAGAATATGAACAGTGTAAATGAATTAATGTTGAAAATAATATCCTACTTTCCTTCAAATAAATAACAGTTTATAATGATTTCAGTAATCAATTACTAGCACAGCCAAATTATTTCCAAAAAATAATAAACAATTTAATTCTACTTAGGTGTTCAAACATTGTTTTAATTTCATTATCTTTTATAGTACACAATTTGTAATTTGATTGGCCTTCTGATTATTATGTAGATCATAGCAAACATGTATGTGATACAAAACGACACCATTACAAATAATTATATCATATTGGCAGTGTAAGGCTGTTTCGCAATGATGTAATATCTTATAAATAAAAATTTACATAATTCTTGTGCTGTTCTAGTATATAATGATTTTTTTATTTACAATTTTTGAACCCCTGTACATCGATAAAATGGATGTTGAATGTGATTTGCTACATATTATGTCAGTGACAAAATTATGTTGGGGTTTAGGCAACTTGGAATTGAAACTAAACTCAAATGGCTTGGTCACTGTGATGTTCCACTTCGACTGCAGGTTGCGTACTTTGTTGTTCAGAATTTTGTGACTGGGTCTGCTGTTGTTGGTCTTGTTGATTTTGTTGAATTCTTGAAGGAAGTGGTGCTGTTTGTCCTGGACAATAATTTTATACTGAGTATCGACTGATAATAAGAAAACGAAAATTAATAAATTCAACATTAAATAAAGGGACATTTTTTTGAGATCATACCGTATTTATCATGAATTCCTCTATGTCGTTTCAAGGCAAATCGATCAGCGAAGGCTGCAGTACAAATGTCACACTTGAAAGGCTTCTCTCCCGAGTGTACTTTCGCATGATTCTTTAGATGCGCCGCTTGACTAAATGCCGATCCGCAAGTATCACACCTGTTGATATATAAAAAGCTTAAGATAAACAAACTTGAAACAAATCGAAACGTTATTACGTGACGACCTCCCTGGTGGAGTGGTATACATCGGGTTTCAAGGTGTCACCCACTCAGTGGCTACAGGGTTCGAATACTTTCGTATAAATACTTCTGGGTTCGAATTTTTATTATAAATACATGTAATTTGTACATAAGTCATGGGGGTTAATATATATTTATTTATAAACCCTAGTTAACCAAAACACAAGTTTACTGTGCTTACTGTGGGGCTAGGCTAATTGGTATGAGTGTTCCCACTTTTTAAAAACAAACCTTATATAGGTTTGTTTTTAAAAAGTGGGATTTGAGTTATTCTTATATCTTATATTTGGGGTAAATATGTAAAAGGTGATCTGGTTACATGACATTTATTTAAAATAGACGACATTGTAAATCTACTTACTTATAGGGCTTCTCCCCAGTGTGTATACGCCTGTGATTCCACAAAGTAGCGTGCCTTGCAAAACCTTTGTCACATACCTGGAAATAATGAGGATCGTTACTAGTCAGTAAATCAAATCAAAATCAACAGTATAATGATCTAATAAGATTTTTAATTAATATATCGACCCTTCCAGGATGAAACGTAGTAAAAGCCAAAACGGTATTTTTCAATTCGGCCAAAAAACAAAAACGGTGAAGTTTGTTTCCCGTATATTTTTTGATTCGCTTAATTTATAATAAACCACTATAACGCATTAAGCTTAGGTTTTCGGGTTGCTTACTAAAAAGAAACTCGGAATAGCCTACATTCATTAGTTCCAGAGATGGCATGGCTTTTACTACAAAAAAATAAGTTGTAAATGGTTTCTATGACATTTTATTTCTGCTTGGCAAATGTAATCTTTTTTTCCTTGAAGTTGTATAAGACTTCATAAATTGTTTCATTAAAGGGATTTTTGAATTAAAAGACAATTTTAATAAGAATAAAGTTTAATTTAGTGAAGTAAATGAACTATAGGGAAGGCCTGTGCCCCAGCAGTGGGGACATTAATAGGCTGATGATGATGATGATGATGAAATGCAACTAAGTGCGCGGCCTATTGCCCACCGCACCGCTCCCCGTCTGCTGCGGAAGGACTGCGCAGTTCCCCTCGCAGGCCCTTCCGCGGCCATCTCATGTAGGTTAGGTACAAAAGATACCTGACGCCATGAAATCCATCGGTGGCTGGCACGGCTAACGCCATGCCGGGCAGCAAGTGATTCAATTAGATAGGGTCACTGCAAGTGCGCAGCCAGGGCGCACCTTCGCTTTCCCGTGTCTGTTCTTTTGCGGTAGCAGGGGACGGCCAGAGGATTGTCCTCCTGTCCCCTCTCGGCCTCCTCCTTCTTTGAGATGACGTCGTCACAGAGAGAGGCGACTCCTTCCAAGCCGTCTCACTACTGTGCATAGCCTCGACCATGCTCGTCAGCGAGAGAGAGAACCTACTGTCCTAGGTAAACAATTCAACACGACCCTGCTATTGAAAACACGAATTTTGGGGCCCACAACTAAAGCCAACAAGCCGTACTTACGTCTAAGTAACGTCTAGAACTTCGTTTACATAGAATATTGGTTTCTTCTACCAACTTACATCCTTTATTTTTTCACTCCTTGTAATAAAAAAACTGTGACTAATCGAAGCCTATATCCTTTTCCGAAGTCCCTAGTATGTCTACATCAATATTGTTAGTAGTATCGTGTCTTTTACTACAAAAATTTCAATAGTATTTATTATTTTCCAGTACTGTATTATATCGATACTTGTAATCTCAATTGACGTAAAGAACAAAACATGACTTCAGGAGAGCCAAAATAAGATTTTTTTAAATTACTTAAATTCATTACGCTTTTGTTTTTCAAGTTATAAAAAAATGATGTAGACAAAATATTCCTAAAATCTTGAGATGCAGACGATGAAATATTTAGTTTTTAGTCTAGTTTGTTATTTTAGAAAATAGATGTGCCTTACATCTAGACAAAATCATTTAAATGTTCTTTACATCCATTTTATTATGATGTTCAGAAGCAAATTGGGCGTAAAGCTCAATTGGAAAAAACGAAATTCTCTACGCCCCAAAAATAAATGTTCAAGAGTGTTTATATTGACATAGTACGCAGGTGTAAAGCTAATGGAAAAAATATATAATTTTATATTTTGAATTAAAGAACTAACTTTTTTTGTTGATTAGGTGGTGAAGCATACATAGCCTACAAGTCATTTTAAATAGCATGTGTTGCCAAGGGCTTAAAATAGATAACTAACAAGTAAAAGAATAGTTTAAAGAATAAATTGTATTTTTTTTGTTAAGAATATCTTAAATATATTAGAATAGGCAATCATCAGCGTAGTACTAGGTTACTTTGGTCATATCGCCAAGAGAAAGCCCGACAACTTAGACAACATGGTTGTTATGGGATAAGTAAATGGTAAAAGACGAAGAGGCCCTTCACCTGTCCGTTGGTTAGACCAAATAAAAGACAACCGGATTCAGTCTACCGACTGCCCTAGAGTGGATTGGAGGGACCTTGTCACCGTCTCGGTAAAGGCAATTCAGGAAAGGCATTTCCTTCAGGAATGAAGCCTTCAATGAAGAAGAAGTCAATATTTAACAAAATAATAAGGATTCTTATGTTCAAATACCTAAATTGGTCAATTGACCAACCAACAGAATTTATCTAAATGATGTATATTTTGGCCTTACCGTCTGAAATATACAGCTTTCAGTAAAAAAAATGTTAAAACATAACTGTAAGTCTAAGATCCCAAGAGAAGTCGTCCTTCATCCATATTCCGCCTACCAGACGAAAAGAACGTTTATCAAGTATATTTTTAAGGAAAACAAATCGCAATTGCTTACCTATTAATATTGTTATTTAAACAATTAAATAGGTTTAAAAAGAAAATATTCTAAAACTATAGGCGTAAAGCCTCCTACGCCAATTTTCTAACAAAACATGTTACCAAATCAAGTTTTATCCAATCGTCGTTAGCAAAACTGTTAGGCCAAGCCACTAAACGGTTAGCAAACAATGTTATCGTGTTAGCAGACATGAAAACACGGCGCAGGAGACCCAGCTTTTTTTTCGTTTATTTTTAACTTTTTGATACAATGAAGGTCCTTTGGGGGGGTCAGTACAGTAGAGCTGCCAGCTTGCACCCAGCACTGCATACTACATACTTTTGTTTGATGCTGCTGTACCGACATTCAAAGTTTGTTTTGTTTGTCAAATTATTTATTAATTGAAATAGAGAGAGAGATTAATTGAAGAGAGAGAGATTTTATTAATGGTTAAAGAACAAAATCAATGGAGATACCTGAGGAACAATATAATATTATTCGTCTCGGGTATACGTTAGTAAGGTGGCGATTTTATTGACATTAACACTTAATCAAGTAACACACAAAAGCTACTTTAAAAGACATTTATTCCCTCAAAATTTAAGAAAAGTAAATACACATAGTTTAAAAAAAGTGTGCTTTACGCCCTTTTATGTTTACAGAGTGATCAAAATCTTTGACTTAAATCACATTTAGCTTTATATATAGTAAATAGTTGGGCTGTTAAAAACAAAATGAAATTATGATGTTCCTTACGTTACATTTTCAATGTGTCTAAAATCGTTATTAATAGCCGCATTGCCATGAGAATTAGACAGAAAAAAAAAGTAAGATGGCATTCATAACTCAATTTGGCCAAAATGTGCTTTACGTCAATTGAGGTTACAGGTATCGATATATGTTGTATTGACCGTGGAATGAGAAAATATGTCTCTTACTACATAATTTTGAAAAAAATATTTCCAAAATTGCTCATTATGACATTTTACAAGAAGAAAAATGGGTTTAGGGCATTAATTGGAGCGTGTTGTAAAAGACATTTTTTCGCGAATTTGAACATTTTAAATATACAGATCGATAGAGCTCCCGATAAAGAAACCGTTAAAAACAGATTTTGGGTAAAATGGCTTTTCGATGTTTCATCCTGGAAGGATCGATATGTACTTTTTCATAGAAATCAATTCATTCGTTGCGATTTTATAAATAATTTTATGGTAGCCAATCAACGATATTAAATACCATAGATACACCCCGTGCGCTCAAAATGTGTACCAATCAAGAAGTGCTTGAACTACAATCAAGTCACTCGCGAACCGTTGAAAAGTGATGATGCCGCAGAGCTCCGAGAAAAAATGCGAAAAAATACTTATAGTACGTAAAGTGATGTTTTTTCGACAGATATCTTATCAATGTTTGTTAATTTAATGCATTTGAAGCAAATTTTGTTGTAATACTTACTTTAACTGATTTAATAGCTTTTTTTTGTGATATTCAAATGCACGGTCAGTTATATAGACATCTCTTTTCTTCTCGGCCCGTACCTACTATATGGCTAACAGCGCATTTAGAATTCCGCGTAGAGTCAAAGAAATAAGGTCTATAGTCCTCCGCATATAGCAATAAGTCGTAAAATTTTACGAGCTTGAGTTTTGAACTGTCAGAACTCTTTGACGCATGGTTTTTAATTAAGACTATGTAGTATGCATTAAAGGTGACTTTGTGACTTATGTTAAATAGTGCCTTATATTGTTTTTGACAACGTTATCATCTTACGAAGCTCCATGGATTGTCCTATGTACCTTTTGGACAGGTTTCGGCCACGTTTTTGTTCGTGATGTTGTATCTAGGGTATTTAATATCATTGTAGCCAATATTCACCGGCGGCCGAAACGTGTGACGTCACAGAGCTCGAAAGTGGTTCACTCCGGTTGAACCTTAGTAGCGTCTCTAAGCAATCTCGCGCCCGAGCGCTAAGGCTCTGTGACGTCACAGTCACCACGCGGCCAGCTGAAAATTCGTTTAGTAATTTGGTCATTATATTTATATATATTTGTCGTAGAAAAAAAATTTAGCCAATGTATTTTATGGAATCCTTAGGTCTATAAATCTGCGTTCTCAACTAAAATCGTTAGATCCCCATTACAAATGCATGTAAGCATTGATATTGGTATTTTTTTTTATTTGCGTAATAGGATAAACACTTTATTTACATTACGTTTACATGATATCTAATAATAGGCCTCACTGTGAAAAGTATTATTAGAAGCTCATTAGCAATAATAGTACTTAATATGAACCATATAAAGAAAATATAACTAGAAAAAATTCCACGCGGACCAGGCAGCAGACGGGACTCGAACCCGCACCCTTCGCAATCCGGGCGAATGCACTGACCAATTATGCTACCGCGGCCCTCACGGACCGCGTCGAAATTCCTTCTAGCTATTCTTAAGCTGCAAGGCAGCGCCATCTCTTCGCATTATAGGTAAACCCACAATGTCAAATGAATACTTTTACAAGTATTAAACATTTGAAAGAAGAAATAGCAATTATAGTTATAATTTTTTTATTATTTTTAAAGCATGTAACTGCTTGATGTTTAAATCTAAAGAAAGCAGCAGCTTAAGAATAGCTAGAAGGAATTTCGACGCGGTCCGTGAGGGCCGCGGTAGCATAATTGGTCAGTGCATTCGCCCGGATTGCGAAGGGTGCGGGTTCGAGTCCCGTCTGCTGCCTGGTCCGCGTGGAATTTTTTCTAGTTATATTTTCTTTAGATTTAAACATCAAGCAGTTACATGCTTTAAAAATAATAAAAAAATTATAACTATAATTGCTATTTCTTCTTTCAAATGTTTAATACTTGTAAAAGTATTCATTTGACATTGTGGGTTTACCTATAATGCGAAGAGATGGCGCTGCCTTGCAGCTTAAGAATAGCTAGAAGGAATTTCGACGCGGTCCGTGAGGGCCGCGGTAGCATAATTGGTCAGTGCATTCGCCCGGATTGCGAAGGGTGCGGGTTCGAGTCCCGTCTGCTGCCTGGTCCGCGTGGAATTTTTTCTAGTTATATTTTCTTTAGATTTAAACATCAAGCAGTTACATGCTTTAAAAATAATAAAAAAATTATAACTATAATTGCTATTTCTTCTTTCAAATGTTTAATACTTGTAAAAGTATTCATTTGACATTGTGGGTTTACCTATAATGCGAAGAGATGGCGCTGCCTTGCAGCTTAAGAATAGCTAGAAGGAATTTCGACGCGGTCCGTGAGGGCCGCGGTAGCATAATTGGTCAGTGCATTCGCCCGGATTGCGAAGGGTGCGGGTTCGAGTCCCGTCTGCTGCCTGGTCCGCGTGGAATTTTTTCTAGTTATATTTTCTTTAGATTTAAACATCAAGCAGTTACATGCTTTAAAAATAATAAAAAAATTATAACTATAATTGCTATTTCTTCTTTCAAATGTTTAATACTTGTAAAAGTATTCATTTGACATTGTGGGTTTACCTATAATGCGAAGAGATGGCGCTGCCTTGCAGCTTAAGAATAGCTAGAAGGAATTTCGACGCGGTCCGTGAGGGCCGCGGTAGCATAATTGGTCAGTGCATTCGCCCGGATTGCGAAGGGTGCGGGTTCGAGTCCCGTCTGCTGCCTGGTCCGCGTGGAATTTTTTCTAGTTATATTTTCTTTAGATTTAAACATCAAGCAGTTACATGCTTTAAAAATAATAAAAAAATTATAACTATAATTGCTATTTCTTCTTTCAAATGTTTAATACTTGTAAAAGTATTCATTTGACATTGTGGGTTTACCTATAATGCGAAGAGATGGCGCTGCCTTGCAGCTTAAGAATAGCTAGAAGGAATTTCGACGCGGTCCGTGAGGGCCGCGGTAGCATAATTGGTCAGTGCATTCGCCCGGATTGCGAAGGGTGCGGGTTCGAGTCCCGTCTGCTGCCTGGTCCGCGTGGAATTTTTTCTAGTTATATTTTCTTTAGATTTAAACATCAAGCAGTTACATGCTTTAAAAATAATAAAAAAATTATAACTATAATTGCTATTTCTTCTTTCAAATGTTTAATACTTGTAAAAGTATTCATTTGACATTGTGGGTTTACCTATAATGCGAAGAGATGGCGCTGCCTTGCAGCTTAAGAATAGCTAGAAGGAATTTCGACGCGGTCCGTGAGGGCCGCGGTAGCATAATTGGTCAGTGCATTCGCCCGGATTGCGAAGGGTGCGGGTTCGAGTCCCGTCTGCTGCCTGGTCCGCGTGGAATTTTTTCTAGTTATATTTTCTTTAGATTTAAACATCAAGCAGTTACATGCTTTAAAAATAATAAAAAAATTATAACTATAATTGCTATTTCTTCTTTCAAATGTTTAATACTTGTAAAAGTATTCATTTGACATTGTGGGTTTACCTATAATGCGAAGAGATGGCGCTGCCTTGCAGCTTAAGAATAGCTAGAAGGAATTTCGACGCGGTCCGTGAGGGCCGCGGTAGCATAATTGGTCAGTGCATTCGCCCGGATTGCGAAGGGTGCGGGTTCGAGTCCCGTCTGCTGCCTGGTCCGCGTGGAATTTTTTCTAGTTATATTTTCTTTAGATTTAAACATCAAGCAGTTACATGCTTTAAAAATAATAAAAAAAAAAATTATGAACCATATAGTTAAATAAATACCTAAATTTTTAGAGATACTTCTCAAGTGTTTCCATTAATAAACTTACCTCACAAACATAAGGTTTTTCGCCTGAATGTGTTCTTTCATGATTTTTAAGATGCGGTGACTGTGAAAACTGCATTCCACATGTATTGCATCTGAAAATAAAAACATGTTTGTGTAATCTTGAACCAATGTAATAAACATTTTTTATTAATTGTATTGATGAGTACTAAAGCCATATACAATAACGTAAAACTCTAAATAAGAACCTACTTTTTATTTGTTACATGGTTATGGTAAATGACTGGAAAGATTACGATTAAGCTGTTACAGTCGTTTTCAGAGATTCAATAACTTTAAATTTATATTCAAGTTACTGCTGTCAATTTCTTTGCCATAACAGTAGAATTAAATAACATGTGACTAAATGATATTGAACCTATGTTCCGTTGCTCTTCAAAGATCATCGCCGTGTAACGGTTGTATTTAAGTATTATTATTTTAGTGCTGTTATTATGTTATTTTCATTTTATTTAATTTTCAGCAACTTTGCCCTGCATATGGCAATGCATATGGCATTAAGTCCGCCGTTTGCTTATGTTTGGCAATAAAATTTAAATAAATAAATGTTATCACTCCACAGGCCCAACCAGCAGCACCTGCAGTGCTATTCTGTAAGAACAAATTCAATTTTTAATGCGGAACCTGTGGTGTGATTTCAAATTTATTTGAAATTCATATTCAAATCACCCGCCGTGAAAATTAAGTTTGTTCTTACACTGTGTTACACTTACATTCTTACGGAAAAACACTGCTGGTCGCATCAGCACAAGGTTTGTATTCTTTAAGGTGCTGTCCAACGACCTAACACCTGTGTTGTCGCGGGCAAGGCCGCGCCGCGCAGTGTTGCCTAACGTATGAGAATTCTAACGTTCGAGATTTAGCAGTCTCGATACATGAAACGGTAAATAAAAATCTGGTACACTTATAAGAGATTTGAACAATGTTGACTGTTTGTGCCATGTACACAAACCAAAAATATTATCAGAAAGTAAATAAATGTCCAGTCCACAAAGGATCGACTCAGTAGGTACAGATTCATTATTCCATCACAAAGTGTACGAGATTTCTATTTTCTACAGGGAGGGTCCAGCAGGACGGCCATTGGTCCGGAGCCAATTGTACCCATACCCTATCGACAGCTGCGAACCTGGATAAGGGAGCACTCTCAACGACAACACGACGAATACTGGTCAAAACTCACGGACTGCAGGCAAGCTAGGGAAGCCGTTCCTAAGGTAAACCTGCAGCTAACACGTAAGTTAAACAGACTACCTAGACAAGCCCTAAAACAAATCGTGGGTATACTCACCGGTCACGGCTACTTCAACAAACACCTCTGTATTATAGTTATTTCTGACAGCCTTCTGTGCAGAGCCTACCTGGAGGAGGATGAGACGAGCGCCCATGTCCTACTGGAGTGCAGGGGCGTTGCAAGACAAAGGGCTTCCCTAATGGGAAGCCCGAAGACAATAGTAGAGGCCTGCAGCAACATTTGGGGACTGCTGACCTTTCTGGAAGAGCTGGGATGACAGGACTGATGCCAATCCCCATGCAAAATAGGCACTGGGTGTCGAGTTGCGGAAACAGCCCGCCGTATTACTAAAACTAAGATAGGCTATTGAAACTTAAAAACACGAAGTGGGCCGATAGATGTGTCGGGAAGTATATATCTATTGCACGATTCTTGAGTGAGAAAATAGTCGATATTAGTAGTTTTCTCGCCGGGCGGTGGGACAACTGCCTAAGCAACTGGCCACCGCGAGTACCGATCACAGTGGCGAACTGAAGAGCCCTTCTCTGTGCTCTTTGCGCTATACTATTTAATATGAAGAGGACATCAGTCAACATAGATAAATGTAACAAAGTTTATCCTAATACTTCTTTGAAAGGACTCTAGTTAATGAAGATTAATGTTAAGGCCCTTGTTCATGAGACACATTATGGTCAATAAATACTAGCGAAAGACGAAGCGCTGGCAGCTCAGCGTATAGCTCGTCAGAGTGTAGCTGTAAAGCAACTCGTTTGAGTGTTATGCTGATATTCAATATTTATTTATGGTTGAGTGATATTCGTATTGGGGGCGAGATTGAAGAAGGGCGTTCAGCTACGAAAATGTTTATGGGACGCCAATGAACAATTCATAAAAACAAAGATGCTTTTGCAGTCTTCCATTGCCAGCGACTTGAACACTCATGGGACTGGCCATGTCTGTATTTCACAGTGGTCAGCATAACACTCAAACGAGTTGGTTTACAGCTACACTCTGATGAGCTATGCACTGAGCTGTCAGCTCTGAGGATCATCACGACTTTAATACTAGCCTCATATGTTATGTTATATATTTTATATGCATTCTGTATAAATGAAACAAACTCACCTGTAAGGTTTTTCTCCAGTATGTATTCTAGAATGATTTTTTAGGTAAACTGCTTTAGCAAAGGCTATGCCACATATTCCACATTTGAAATTTTTCTCTCCTGTGTGTAGTTTTTTATGAGACCATAGAGAAGAATAACGGGAAAATGAGCCACCACAAATGTTACAATGAAATGGCTTATCAATATTGGGTTGGTTTAATTTATTTTTATTTCCTCCTACAAATATTATGCCAGAACCATTACAGTTTTGACATTTGGTCACAGCAGCTAAGTTTCTTTTTTTCACAGGATGATGACCAGCTACTGTAAAAGAGAAAAACAAAATTTACAAGTTACACATAGAAATTAACTGGCCAAATGCAGGTTGGGCCATGCAGAACATAGGGTTCTGCAGTTCACCACTAGAGGACATAAATAGCTAATTTATTGATAGTATTTACTATGAATGGCCAAATAATGATTGTTCTTTTGCCAAATAATGATAGTTACATTCAGTTAGCCTAAGAATAACTAATTTATACAAATTTAGTGGTACCCAGGTAGATGGCATCCACACAATTCAGTGACTTTTTAATAATACAATTGGAGGGCCAATTTCCATAAGTCGCTAAATCCACTTAGGGACTTTTTAATCTGACAAAACCATTGAAATCAGCTCTTCAGATTGCCTATGATATTATTTTGTTTAATTAGTATTTGTCCAGAAAAATAATTACTTTTATTTTATTTTTTAGCATACAAAAGTTCAAATTACTGTGTAACATTTAGCAATATTTCTGCTACGAGCCATGCATACAATTACTAAATTCCAGCAGAGGTACTTGTTGGTTTTTTTTCACATTTTAAAATACCTATTTGTAAGGAGGATCTCTTATGATTTTAATTTAGAATTCAAATTTATAGAGCTAAGGATTCCATAAAATAAAGTAGTAAAATTTTTGTTCTGTGACAAATATTGATAAAGTTATGACCAAATTACTAAACGAATTTTCATCGCATGGCGTCACACGTTTCGGCCGCCGGTGAATATTAGCTACCATAAAATTAATTATAAAATATCAACTCATGAACTGACTTCGATGATTTAAAAATTCTATTCATTAAAAAGCTTATTATATCATTATACATAATTTTGAGTTGATTTACCCTAGTATCCCATATCACAAGCCTTACAGTGCTTGCTTTGGGGCTAGGCTAATTGGTGTGAGTGTTGCAAATATTTATTTATTTATTTGCTGACCTAGTAATGATCCTCATTCCTATTTTAGAACTTCTGGATTGTAAGAAACAATATCTGCACTTACAAGTTTTTTGTTGCTGCTGTGTCTGTTGATTGGATTGTGTGGGTGCCAGTGGGTCAGAGGGTTGTTGCACACTGGTAACACCTGTCACTTCATATTTTACATTATCTTCTGATGCTACAAATATTTGTGTTGGGTTTACTGAAACAATGGTGAAAGTAAAAATAGAAAAGGTAACATAACTTTGGCTTTTATAGTGGTAAATTCTTAGAGTAAAGATTTTAAACAATATACAATAAAACTTTTTATATACATATGAAATTATTTTGGGTGTTTCTCCTAAAATTGCTTTGCCTCCATATTTATCAAAATTTAAAAAAAAAATCTCAATATTATTATTTTTTTCGTCGGTCATCATGCCCGTGATAGCAAAGGGAGCCGGTTCAAGTCCCGTCTGCGTGTAATTTTTCTGGTAATATTTTTTTTAGATCTTAGATATTATTGAATTATATACATACTTTGATTATTTCTCTGCTCCACAGAATCTTGAGCAATGCAGTTTTCACATCTTATTAGTTTAGGTCCTTTTCTTTTAGGATTGTTGGCAATATGTCCACCACATGTAATACATTTTTGAATTTTGTCAATGATCACTGGTTTCGCTGAAACACAAATAACAAACCCATCCATATAGAGCCATATTTTTAAAAACATAATGATTCATTATATTACTATCATTAACTACTAATTTTTACAGAACATACTCACTGTCCTGGATTTGAACATGATGTGATTGCTGCTCATTGGGGTCTGATGAAAGAATTTGAATATGAGGCGGCATATTTACTTCATTACTATTAGTGACCCCAGTCGTAACAACACTGATGTTACTCTCTGCATAAAAAATTTTTAGCATTCATTACATTTAAAGATATTTTGAATTAATTTGTTTTTGGGAGATAAAATACTTCTGAAATAATTATAATGCATTTATCAGAATTTGTATTTAACCCTTCTCAGGCTACTAAGTGTGTATACCTGTATCTTGAGCGTGTATCCTTTTATGAGCATTCAGTAGAGTGAGGTGACCAAACATTAGTCCACAAACATCACATTTGAAACTAATATTGGATATGGTGTTTTGGATTCCATTTGGGGCAATCTGCATTTGATTCACAAGTGCATAATTGTATGAAAATGGCTGTGCTATGTAACATGTCTTATCGTCTCCTGTTGTAAGTTGTGCTATATTCACACCACCAGTAACTCCCGCTGCTCCTCCTGTTGACCCAGTGCCTATCTTACCAATCATGTTAACATTTGTAGTGTAACAGAATGTTGGAAACTCCTTAAAAATAAAACAATAATGGATATAATTATTACCATACCTAAATTACAATCAAATTGAACAAATAATTGTAAGTAACTATAGAATATACTTGTTGCTGTTGCTGAGTTTGTTGAGCCTGTTGAGGTTTTTGCTGAACATTCTCAATATTTTTGCCTTGAGTCTTTTGAGTGGGATGTTCCTGGTACTGCAGCGTCGGCACAGTGCCGGTTTGTACACTGTTAGTCGTAAACATTATAAATTCTACTTCTATGTAGGTACTACTTCCCTAATCTTTTGTTCATCTTATCCTTTGCATGTCTGAAACATATTGTACACTTTGCACCACACATTATACTAAATTCAGTCACAGTATAGTTTTAATTCCACAAAAGCGCGGCTAATTGTAGGCGGCGAAACAAGAAAGAGAAACTCCAAAACACAGAGTGCGAAGGTAACGGGAAATATTTCTTATCAGTCTACTCTACTCGTAAAAAGATCATTCGCTATGAAAGCGGTGTCTCCTGAATAGTCGATATATGTAAGAAAAGGATGAAGGAACATTATTTCCGACGCGCTCTCAGAGTAAACGGAACGGACGCCATTGTACTCGACCAGAGTTGAAGACGAGACGCCGTGTTCCCAAGCATTCTTTGTTAATGAACTGCACATTAATGTATTATAGGTATAAGTATTTAATTGTAAAGTTATTAAATACGTACTTTTACTATAATTAATTCAAGGTGTCGTAAGTAAAGATTCAGATTCCTATTTTCTGTCTCGCTTTACAATACTTCAATTCTCCATCTCACGAGAGAAACGAAATGGCGATATAAAAATAAAATGGCGGCTAACGGCGGCTGGATTATGACATTTGTACTTTTAAATTTCCTAATTCCGACATCAATAGCGATAACTTCTGACTTTTTAGTCATCAAGCCGGACCACACGATACAAACTAATTAAGCAAGTTCTTTGTTGCAGTTTGTGTAGCAGATTCAGCATATATGATGCAAATAGACTGTATAGGGACACGATATCGAATAGAAAGTATCGATACTGTACTCATGAGTAGTATCGGTAAAAAAGTATCGTACTTGTAAAAGTATCGAAACAAAAGTATCGATACTTCAAAGTATCGAGTACATTTCATAGGGCCTTATCGGAGCCTCTGTGGCCTGATGAGCAACCTCCCTCTCTCTCAGTGTTAAAATAGAAAGAAAAACAATCGAATTTTATTATAGTAAGTATAATCAAAAACAAAAAAGGACATGTAAATTCACAAATTGCTATATTATGTAATGAAATAATATTGTGTGTGATTTCTGACACTAAAAAAGTGTTCATTAATATTACATTCATAATTAGGTACAATGTTAATTAAAAAGATCGAAATCTTAAACAATTTAAAAGTATGAAACTTTTCAGATTTGATTCAAATTAAACTTACTTTTCTTGAATTTTAATCATTAAAAAACATTATACCCACTTATGTTACCTTGAATCTGATACGTAGTTAACGGCTGCCAATGGCATGCTTCACTCAAGATTATAATTATAGAAGAGGTTACGTCCATCTTTTTTTCAGGTGGTTTCAAATAGGTATACACAGCACAGACAGAATAATAGTGTTACACTTGAATAAATCAAATACAGTCAAGCGAAAAGCACAATAAACGGCGAATCAATCACAGTTCCTAACAATATGGTCGCTAAATAAATAACTATGAAACAAAACAAACCGCAAAATAAACACAGTCACAGATTGGAAAGAATTTGAATATGTCAGTTACTGACTTTATAACAACGCAATAGGGCATTTGACAGTTTTAAAAATAAAGTGCCAAAATAACGAAAAAGATATTAGTTTTGTGATCTATTGTCACGTAACCCAAAACGCTTGGGATTGGCGGAGCCTAAAAGGACGTCACACGCAATTAAACTTCCGGTCAAAGTGACATTACATTGTATCGTTTGACGTTTCAATAACAGTCGTATGACGTCACACACTAGTAAGACGCCATATTGCCCAGAGAAACGTTTTCGCGGCAACTTAAAAATTGAGTTTTTGATTTGGTTATTTTTACTGAAATACACGACAGAATGATGAATATCCACTTTTTACGGACTCCATAAACATTAGTCAATAACGTGAGATCGTTGCCTAAAACTTGTCAAATACCCTATGGAACGTTTTAGAAGGTTTGCTATGATTTAACAAGATGGCGTTGCCATCAATATGAGGCGCTTATCCAAAATTTTAAAGGTATCGATACTTGCCGAAAAGTACTCATTTAGTAAAAGTATCGAATACAAAGTATCGAGTACAAAAGTATCGGTATCGAAAGGAAAAGTACTAGATACCACAAAGTATCGATACTTTTTTCGTGTCCCTAAGACTGTAAGGTCAAGGTTTTAAAATGTCCTGCCCCTCTAGCATGACCACCGAAACGGGATGTGATAAAGCGATATATCGACATTAACTGTCAGACTACTGTCAAACTCCATAGTAGTCCGACAGTTAATGCCGATATATCGCTTTATCATAACCCGTTTCGGTGATCATGCTAGAGGGGCTGAGGCCCAAGTACGAATTTTGACAGCTCTGCTCCATCACCGTATCGTCAAAATTATGTATGGAAAAAGCTAGTTTGTTTTTACGTCATCTATGGGTGCTGCTTAGTTTTCATAAAAACTTTGATTAAGCGATAAATTATCGAGCAGTCAAAATTCGTGCTTAGGCCTCATAATACAAGATCCAAAGACCGCCAGACCTTACTTATGGATAAAATATGGTTAATTGAGTAATACAACAATGAACGTGTTATTAAACAAAGTTATGAGAAAGTTAAAGAGTCTTTAACTTAAAAATAAATTTAACATCAGTCTCTCCTTTTCAATCTGTATACAGAATGACAAGGATACAATGTTGTCAAATTAAAGTTTAGGTTTAGAGAACCCTGCCAGAATCGACACCACTAGCTAGCTTGTGCTGTGGGCTAATTTACAGATACAAATTTTACGTAATTTACTTAATTGTATATTTTACATATTATTAAAGTCAGAAAAAGTACGGTTTTGTTTTTTGCTTTTGACATTAAAAGTATTTAGCAATAAAAACAACTGACAGAATGTGATTATTCATAAACTACTGCGGCGGTAATGCAGAGATGAGCTAGATTCTGATTAATGTTTTTTATCACAGTCTTAATAAATAAAACTTATTATTAAAAAAATCTGATACTTTTCTTAGTAAATAAGTTTTATAAAAACTTCTTTTTGCTCACTCTATTTGGTTTGAATTGACAGCTATAACATCACAATATGGCGCCCAGTCGGTCCTATTCCTAGTTGAATCGCATTATATTAGCCAAACCCATGGACTTATAAAAAAAGGGTCAAACCACTATGATTTATTGAAAACATTGACTAAATTAAACTATAATTTTCAATGTTTTATTAATTCATATAATATAATTTTCATTTGTAATACCAAAATGATAATAGGTATTAGAAATAATAAAAAAAAAGCTTTCATCACATGTATTCATTTATTTAATTCCATCTTTAAGTTTTCTCCAGAACTAATGGATTCCCAATAAGTTTTAAAGTTTTCTATGGCTTTCTCATAACTTTCAAAAGTTACAGGTTCTATAGTGTTCAATGACTGTGTTTCATTGCCAGAGTTACCTTCTGAAAGTTTAAGCATTTAGGTAAAAAATATTAATTGCAAGTCTTATATAATAATTTATATCTATACTGTATGCTTCCTAAGCATATAATTATATTGTTTTTAAACATGTTTTAAGATTAAATAACAATTAATAAAGATATTAGAAGCAAAAAGGCATGTATAGCAGGTAAAACTGCTTCTTCGTTGTCTGGATTCTGCAGCCACTTAACATCAAGTGAGGTGTAGTCATTTGCTCAGGCAAAAAAAGATCTATTAAAATGATAATGAAAGAGCTTGGTGCTATTTTTATTTCAAACTATATGTATTTCACCTTATTAATTTTAAACATAAGCAATGGTAACAATTGTACAAGAATACCATAAAACATTTTCTGAAGCAAGTAAATTTGCCATCACAGGACGCTGAAAATTATTAAGCCCCAGGAGTTCACAATGTTTAATTTCAAAAAAATCGACAAAACCAAAAATGTTAATGAATGCCCTTACATTACAATGTCTAGCCTAACCATATAGAATCTATGAGTTCCTGTCTTCCACACATCTCAAAACTAAATCCTAAACTAGAGATGTATAAAAATGGACCATTATACTGCTCCATCTTGAATATAATAAAAGTCCCGTTACTATGAAAACAAAAACTATTATTACCACATTTAAGAATAAATTGAAAGAGCTTCTAAAAAAAAAACAATATTAATCTTTTATATTTTTATAAATAATAGACTAATTTGTTAATAATAAATAAACTTAGTATTTAACTTTATTTAATTGAATGTAACTTAATTTGACCTGTTTAATTAGATTTGATTTTTAATTTAAATTGTTATGATATAATTATGATTTCACTATGAAGATGATATAATTTGACTTGATTAAAAAAATTGTTGTTTGATTGATTTTGTTTAAATTAAGTTGCACTTGATTTAATTTAATTTGAATTTACCTACATTTTTGCACTATAAAATTAATATTTAAATATAATGTTAATTACAAGTTTGTTGCAACACCCCAACGGGGTCATGTACCACTCACTATTAACAATGAAAGGGTATGGCCAGAGTGCACGCAGATTCAGATTCAGACTCAGAAAACAAGCGCGAGAAATAAACAGTAAAGTTAAAGCAGGGTGGCCATAGTGGCAGCAGGCAACCTGCTTAAACTACACGGTATATTTCTCGCGCTTGTTTTCTGAGTCTGAATCTGAGTGCACTCTGGCCATACCCTAAGACCTTATAATAAATAATGTACATAGTAATGTGAAATAAATAAAACAAAACCTACAGAAATTGATTTTTATTATGAGTATTACTTTGAGCCTTGTAGGTTGGGCAACACAGGTAATTGTCAATTTTTGTGCTGTGTATTTGATGTTAGGGATAGAATCTCCTTTTGACATCATCCATAAATAACATCCTTAATCCTTACTTTAATATTTGATAGATGTCTCTGTCAGCCTGATACCTGGGCAGAGTGGAAGTTCTTCTAGTAAATTATAAGTGAGGAGTTTATAATGATTTTTTACATAATTTTCAGCTCCTCATGAAACAATCTTTATGCTATTCATGGAATTGTTACAATGCTCATGCTAGTACCAACTTCTCTACTCAGCCGAGTTAGTCAAACCAAAGCAAACCCCCCTTCAAGTGTGACAGTTTTTCATTTTTATCTCTTGTGTGTGATAATAAAGAAAGTACCACTAACTTCTTTTGGTAAATATAAATACAGGGAGACCCAAGATACTAAACTACATATTGTTATTACAAAAATACTATTTTTTATGAATAAATGAGGTTTCATACCACATGTTAACTCAAATGACCATTATAGTTCACATTTAATAAAACTAGTTTTAAGGGGTTAATACACAAACTTTACTTATTTATTGAAGTTCACATTTGTTTCTTTAAAATTAATTCCATAAGTGCTAACATCTTAACTTTAACAAGGTTTACCATTTACTAATGAAGAAAACTAAAATATATATTCTTACCCATATTATTTGGTGTAATATAAGTATGTTCCATTTTTATTAACTTTCTTGTTTTACTTAGATATTCTAAATTTTTGGCAGGTACTTGATCAAAAACTGGATCTTCACTGATTGGTGGGGGTACATCCTTGAAAAACATGTATGTCCCTAGTGGATTTTCATATTTTCCTGAAATCTTATTTCAATCTGTAATCCTTTTTATTTGAATTAGGAAATACCTGTGTTTAAACTTATGACCTTTACCTACCAATAAAAACGGTATCATCCATTTGTACAATTGGATTTTTTGAATTTACACCTAACACATTTATATTTTTGAATTGTTCAATATCAACATCGTCACCAAGTTCAAAGTAAAGCAAAAGTTCTTCTTCAGAATCAGATGTACACTGAGTCATTATTTTGATTATCGAGTAAAATTCTCAATCAAAATGATGAAATGTTTGTTTTTTAATAATTTTATGGCTTGGATGCTGGTCATTTAAGCCACGTCTTCGTTGTATTCCTGATTCTTTATTTTTAGGTCTATGTGGCTTTCATTTTCGTTTGTCCTTTCGGACAGGCTAAGGTCTGGGACCATACTGCCTCGTCATTAGTTATTTTTCTTCTTTTTATTATTAAAATTCAATATAACTTCCTCAGTTTGATAATTTCCGGTATATTTTCTAGTTTTTTGTTTTACTCTATTATTATGTGCTTTTTTCCGAGCACATTGAACATCTTAAACACCAAACATTTAATTTTTTCTCTTACTAGACAGTCCAATCATGAATTAATTACATCCTATATGAATTTCATATTTATTTAATATCTTTTTTATAGTACACATTTACACAAAAAATAAATCATAGACCAATACCATGCAATACCTTAATCCTAATACAAAACTTAAGAAAAGAAAAAACAAACTTAAAACAACGACATTTGATACGTTTCAAACTTGTTTCAAACCGACGACCTAAACGAAAAAGAATACCTACAAGCAAAATTACGAAAATAAACATTTTTTTCAAACAAATAAAAGGAAAGAGAACATGCGGTACCTATTAAACTTAACTGAGCGTTTTGTGTATGCAGAACATTTAACCTTAAAATCTAATACACAACGATATTACAGAATATTTATATTTCTTCAACAGTGTTTGCAATGAAATTATACAGAGGAACGTATGTACAATTATTTACAAGAAGATCGGTCAAGGAACGCGGGACCAAATCATGTTTGCCATAAATTTGGATTAGCTCATCCAACAACACAAGGCGCTGAATGCCGAAGGATGGGCAGTCAAAGAAAATGTGAGCTAGGGTTTCTTCTTGGGAATTGCAATGAGTACATTGAGCATTATTCACCATTTGCAACCGAAAGAGATGGAAATTAAGCCGACAATGACCAAACCTTAAGCGAAAAATCGTCGTATAGAATTTTCTATTCAAAAAGCTATTTGATTTGCAGAACCATGGCAATTTGTTTACATCAACATAAAGAGGTGTGTACCATAGACCTTTACCTTTAACCTGTACTATACAATTCCAATGGGCTCGCCACTCTTGGTGCATTCTTTCCTTTAGCAGAACAATCAAATCTGTATAAGGTATAGACATCTTCTGAGTATTGGTTTCAGTAGCTAGAGTATTGATAGATTTTGCTAGATAATCTGCATTTTCATTACCTGTTACACCAATGTGAGACGGAACCCACATGAAACTTACAATTATATTATCAACATTGTATAGATCATGCCAGACTTCTTTAATAGCATGAATAATGTAATTGGTGTTTGCACTTAATTTATTGTTTTCTAAGTTTTTGAGCACACTCATGCTATCACTAAGTATTAGCCATTTTTTATGTCCTTGATTTTGGTGTTTTATGTGTTTCAGAGCAGCCAAAATTGCTAGAGCTTCTGCAGTGAATACAGAGGATTTTTTGTCTATCTTGTAACCTAAACCAGATTTTATAGAGCTAACGTAAAAAGAAAAAGATGCACTTGAATCATTTTTTGAGCCATCTGTATAAATATGTTTATGATCAACCCAATTTGATAGTTCACCAAACACCTCCTCTTTAGTAGAAAGCTCCTTGTAGATATTTATGTCAATTGATGGAAATTTGCTCTCAAAATGCCCTTCATAGCATAGTAAGATTGAAGGCTTATAAATGTTGGAATTTTCGAGAAACTGAGTGAACTGAGGAAATCCTTGCATGATATACAAAGGCCTACCTGCCAGTGATTGTGATAAATATGAAATATTTTTTAAAAGTTGATTATTGTTTATTGAGAATAGCTTCAAAAGGAATCTTTCCTTTAAGTAACTAAATCTTATTGAAATGGGAGAAAGATTACACTCAATTTGCATAACATTAATGGGAGTGCTTTTGAAAGCACCAGTTATCAAACGCATACTTTTATTTTGAATTTTGTCTAGGATATCTACAATTTTGTTGTCATGAGCAAAACAAAAAAAAGCATACTCAAAATGGCTGCGAATCAAAGACTTATACAGTAACAACAAGATCTTAGGATCAGCTCCCCAATATGTAGAAACTAAAGATTTTAATATGTTTAAAGCTTTGTTAGCCCTAGTTGTTATGTGTTCAATATATTTTTTCCAAGATAAGTTGTGAGTTATTAAAACACCCAAAAACTTTGTGTCTAATGAAACTGGAATAGCAACATTGTTATAGTAAACAGTAGGCATCAAAGATCTATTTTTCCCAAATACAAGCAGTTTTGATTTTAATGGGTTAATATCAAGATTTAAGTATGTAAAATATTGATTAAGATTAAATAAGGCACTATTAATTTTATTTACTAAATTTGTAATTTTATGATCGGAAGCATATACTACCAAGTCATCAGCAAACTGTAAATTTTTGACATGTCCACCCAGAATTAAGTTGAGACGTCGGATATATAATATAAAAACAAGAGGAGATAAAATTCCTCCCTGACAGACACCAACAGAAGCCAACCGTGGGCCATATAGGTAACCATTATTCTTAACAAAAACTTTTCTTTCAGACAAGAACTTTTGGACCCAATGAACAAGTTTTGGTGGTATACCCACTGAAGTTAACTCATTAGAAAGCACATCAACATTGACACTGTTAAAAGCTCCCGCAACATCAAAGAATACAGACACCATAGTTTGATTTTTTACTAGACAATTTTGGATGTCAAGTTGTAATTGGCAGATACTTTCACGAGATGAGCGACCTCTTCTAAATCCAAACTGATTCGAAGGTAAAATGCCATTTTTTTCCACATAGAACTCCAATCTTTGCTTTAGTAGTTGTTCAAAAATTTTTCCTACGCATGAAGTTAGTGCAATAGGGCGATAAGAATCTTTATCCAATTTAGGCTTATTATGCTTTAAAATAGGAACCAAGCAATCTATTTTCCAACAAGGTGGTATGTCATTGTTTTCCCAAAGATGATTTAAAACCTTCAAAAATATCTGCAAACTAGAATCACTAAGAGTTTTCAACATTTTATAAGGGATACCATCCAATCCAAATGCACTTTCTCTTCTGGAGGAGACTGCGTTTTTCAATTCTGTTATTGTAAATGGTTTTATTAAAAAGAGGTTGGTGGAATTTGATTGAGATCTATTGTAGGAACAGTCCTGATGAGTAGGTACATAATCAGGAGTATATTTCTTAAGAAAAGGTAAAACCCAGCTGTCACAGTCTGGATGACTTAAAATAAAAGATTTATTGAATTTACGCATATATTTCCAGATTACAGTAAGAGGGGTACAACGATTGAATGAACTACACAAATCAGCCCAGCTTTTTGATCTTTCAGTTTTAAGGGTGAGTTTTTTTAAAGCTTGCAACCTTTTAAATTCCAAATAGGTTGTTTCTGATGGATTATTTTTAAATGTAATATATGCTTGTTTAGAATTACTCACAGCAACTGAACAATTATTATTCCACCAAGGTAATGAGAGTCTTTTGCCAGTTTTTCTGTTGGTAGAGTTGGATTTTAATTTGGTAGGGGTTAAAGACTCTGTGGCTGAATAAAGAATTTCACAAAATAGTGTATAAGCCTCCAATGGGGTGTATGATTGAACACAAAACTCAGATAAAAGACTTTCAACTTTACATTGATACATTTTCCAATCAACCAGTTTAAAATTTTTGAATATTGGAAAAGTGACCTTATCATCCATGACATTATTGTTATTACAATCTTGTTGGTTGTTGACATTGAGAATAATATTTGTTTTTACAGGTAGATGATAACTGCCGAGAGGATCATCATGAACAGACCATTCACAAGATAAAGCCAAAGAAGGACTAACTATGGTCAAATCTAGAGCATTGGGCCGCCAAGTTAAAGAGCCAACTGTGGTTGGTTGCCCATCATTAAGAAGAATCAAGTTATTTTCATCAATGATATCCAGAATATCTCGACCACGAGGATTTGTGGAATTACAGCCCCAAGAAGAGTGATGACCATTAAAATCACCTGCAAAAATCATCGGACCAGGGATAGATTTTATAAGAGAATCTAATTTGCTTTTACTAAAGGCAGGATTAGTATTTGGAGGACTGTAAAAGCTAACAATTGATATATCTTTATTTCTTATTGTAATACGAATACAAATATTTTGCAAAGTATTATCAAAATTTGTATTGATTTTAGTATAAACAATGTTATTGCGAATTAATATTGCAACTCCATTATGTATATTATCAGAATCATTTCTTTCTATGTTGTAACCTTTTATTTTGAATTGTTGATTCGGTCTTAGCCAAGTTTCTGATATTAATGCTAAATGAATGTTGTGTTCATAAAGAAAATTTGTAAATATGAGCCTACTGCTTACTAAACTCTGAGCATTCCATTGTACAATATTTAAGTTAGCCATTTTTATTTTTGGAAGGTATTTTTCTGAATGTATTATGTTAATTTTCTTTTATAGTATTACTATTTATAGGTACATTCTTATTAGATACTATATTCATTATTGTTTCTACTAATAAATTCATAAATAAGTCTGATTTTGATAAATTATTTAAATGTGTTTCTATCGATTTTTCGGCAAGTTTGGGAAATGATTTTTCATTAAACAGTTCTGAATACTGCACAGCTCTACTTTTAATTTTGTTGTCTTCGATCTGTTGCTTTTTAATTGGACAAGAGGATGAGATGGCTACGTGATTACCTCCACAGTTAGTGCACTTTGCATTTTCTATATCAACAGTACAAGATTTATAATTATGATTTGTCGAACAAATTGAACAGACTTCATTATTGCGACAAAACTTAGCAATGTGACCGAAACGCATGCAACGTAGGCACTGCTTAACAGGTGGAACGTATGGACTGACCTCGTGTCTCCAATGGTCTAGATATACGTATTCTGGCAACTGAGTAGAGGCAAACGTTACTGCGACTGTTTGCGTGGGCTGGTACGAGACTGCACCAGCA